ACAAGTTCAAAAGCCCAGAAGCCCAGCTGTAATAACACTTAAATAGGAAGGAGCCGAGGTTCAAGTCCTTATTTCAGAGTTGCTTGCATCATGCCTTGGCAGATGACTGCCATAGCCAGTGCACTCAACTGCTTAGAGGTATTCCTCACTGATCTTGAAATATTTTTAAAGATTTACTTTTTCTTTTGATGCAGACTGAAACCAAGTAAAATCTTTTTTCTGTTTGCGTGGGGTTTTTTTCCCGCTCTCTAAAATACAGTTCTTGTTTTATGTCTATCCTGCTAGGAACATCCTGATTGGGTTTACATGAAATAATCTATTTTAAAAATTAATAATAATTCCACATTATACACTGGTTATCTATGTCTTTTATTAGACAATTTTCTACCCTGCACCTGTGGGTGTCCTGCAACATAATACTGAGTGTGATGATTCATTTCAGGAAGATCCCCTTTGGTTACAGGGGGATAAAGAAAAAGTTTATTTAGGAGAAATCAAAAAGGATTTGGTAATCAAGAACACTTGGAAGTTATCCATTTACTGGATATATAACATATGAGAGAATGGAAATTAGTAGAATGTTTAAGTAATGCAATTCTATCCTTAATCTGAACTCTCATTCTTTTTTAGTGAGGGGAGAGTGAGAGAGCAAGAGCAATTCCCAGCATAGGAATGTGGGACTCTCGTGGTCAAGGGATTAAGAATTGCACCATGTAAATTGAAGTCTAAACCTGAAAGTAAAGAGGAAAAATAAAACAAACAAACAAACACAGAAACAAACCCCCAGACAGAATGTTAACTTTTGTTTGGATCTAACTCAGCTTGGTTCTTAACCTTTTTAGATATGTGGAAGTGAAAGCAATACATGTCACTTTGCGTGAAATAGCGATGTCTCACATTAATAGCATCAATTTGGAACCAACATAAATTATCCAGATTGAGTGAAAATGACAAACTACGTTGTAAATTGGAGGATATTACATCTTGCAAATGATCTGGAGAATACAAGTACATTATTATTGTTATAAATTTAGTTTGGTCCAGAAACAAGGTCTGATTAGCATTTCATTTGGACACCGTACAATATGGCAGAGAGAAAAAAATAAAAATAAAAAAAATCCAAGAATATCAAGCCAATTATAGTGTTCACGTGCCATCAACTTTCTGCTCCAAGAACTTTGAAAGTTAAGCCAAACCAAACCAATGCAAATTGGTGGATTTGGACATCCTTTTCATGACCACATTATCTTAGCTGGATTGTTAACAACTTATTTTGGAAATCCAATTAGGTGCAAAAGAGAAAGAGAGAAAGAGAGAGAGAAAGATGTCTTTATAGTTCTAATATCCTGATTCTATGAGCAATTTTCAAAGCAAATTCACTTTTAAGGGCACCTCTATCAAGAATAAAAACATCACTGCACTGCTGTCAGTGTTTCTTCACAGCAGGCTATAAATACTTAGGGAACAAGATGAAACAAAAGCCTTGCAGAGTTTCCTATCTGGTGCTGGCATTTAAGTATAGTGGTAAAGAACGTTTCAGAAAAAAAGAAAAATCATTGTAATAAAGTCCAACTGTTGTTCTCTATGGGGTGACCTTGGGTTTGGGAGTGGGGTTTATCAGGGAAGAATCACTGCATTTTGCCCTGGAGGAGAACAAGTATTTTATTTGCTTAATACCCCAATCTGCAGCTTTTCTTCTGTTTGTTTTAATGGGGAACCTGGGAACAGGGTAGACCCATAATTAGAAATGATGGCCAAAATCATGATAACGACTTCACTATTTCCACCCTAAATTCTGTAATGGTGTAAGAAATGTAGGAAAAGGACTTACTCAATAATACATCAGTTTAGCTGCCAAAACTTTCATTAAAAAAAACTGTACTCCCTCTGAGAGTTAAAAGGCAGCTGAACTTAGGCTTTGTTGAGAATTGTGGACAATAATGAACATTATATGCACTCTGCATAACTGCACGGAAGATCTTTGAAGAACAGTCGTTTAAGAACATTTCTCACACCCCTGCTTCTAGCCAAAATGAAAATAACCATGGAGGTGGGTCAGTGTCAGCTCCAGTAGCAGTTTGAGCTGGAACCATGTATTGTAGAGAAACATTAAAAAAACAGGACAAAATGAGAGCTTAGGTGATATATTTATGCAAAGATACGTTTCAAAATATTACACTTTGATATTGATTGAGGTGTTTTTGATGCTTTATGAACTGCCTTGAATGAAACATTCTCATTAATACTTTTCTGTTGCATAGAACAAATCCCTTTGCCAAATCACACAGTATTCCCCCTCAGCTTAACGTATATTTGACAATATTCTGAAACAGGATATAAAAGGAAATTTTCTATGTGCGGGAGGAGAAGGGGATGGTATACATAAATTTTTCTCTCTGTTTTTTTAAAAACATTTAGGATTTGAAACATAGCATTTTACATGACACTAAGTAACTTCCTGCATAGAAACCCATGAAACTTTCACAATTAATGTATCCTGAAATAGGTGTGGTCTCCAGGCCTGGTAGGAGTTTTGTAAAAGAAACCATCGTGCTGGATTCAACAACAAAGTGAAGTACAAACTTGAAGAAAGGCATTCTTTAGTTAGTCCTTTCATTTAAAATCAGTTATGTTCAGGGCAAAAATATTGTATTTCAAAGGAGCCTATTATGCCTTCCCATAAACAGAAAGATCATACGTTTTAAAACTAAAGTATCATTATGTAATCAAGCTGTTGTATTATAAACTATTTTGTGGGCTCAGATGCCCAGGGCTATCTTTACAAATATTTAAGAGGTCACTATCAGGGTATGTTCTCCCTAAAACTCTAATTCTTTCCTCCTGTTTTCATATGCATCTTACCATAAATATCTGACTTATAAACAATTCTTAAAAAGTTTACTAAGGGCACAAAAGTGAGGCATTAAATAATTTAAAGAAGCAGAAAAGCATGAATGCAGCAAGTACACCAAAGTCAAGATAATGTGTCTGATGAGGAAAACACAACAAAAAACAATGTGCAACAAAAATAAAGTTTCCAAAAAAGGATCAATATTTGTATGCCAGTAGAAAATGAAGAACAATATAAGAAGAATAATAAATCTGGCACATTAAAATCTGACATTAAAAGTACTGTATCTAGATAGGGTTACAAAAGATACCTGGAATTTCTGGCAAATGGGAGAGCAAAAAATGGTTTTGTCTGATGTCATCAAATCAGGGGTGAAAATGATGAGACCAACAAACATGTTTACAGCACAGAGAGAAGAAACAGAGGCATTAACAGCAAAGAAGGGCCACACGGATGTAAGACAAAGCGTGGTACAGAGGTGGTGCCAGCTGCAGATACTTAAACCCGCAAACCTGGTATTCATCTCAATCAGCTTGGCTTGAAACGAGCACCAGCTTCTTTTGAACATAAGACTACCTGCACTCAGTGTGGCTGTTGGTGTTGCTGACATCTCTATCCTATTTTTTGGTGTGGCGTTGGGTGGGGTTAGGCATGCCCTAAAGCTGGAGGCTGACACTGGGATTTGCTCTACTCTGCTGGAACAACACTGCTGCTGTGATCGTCACAACTACCCACTCCTTGTACTCCTCCCCTCAAAGGATCATGTCCATGAGGCTGCAAACGACATTCCAGCTAACATCTGCTATGAAAACAGGTCCCATCCCTAGCCCAGAGAAGGTACTCAGAACCCATGGAAGTGGATGTCATCCAAATGCCACATTAGGTAGTTCTACCAGACCGAAAAGGATAAGCAACCTTAGGAGACCAAACAGTGGGTGATATAGGAAGCCAATCTGAAGGAGAAAGAGATA